CGGCTTCGGGCAGGCGGAAGACGTCGCCACGATGACAGCCGCAGGCAGGGCAGGCTTTTGGCAGAGGCCGTGCAGGCTCCTATATAAAGGGGGGGGGAGGTTAGGTTTTGGGGGGGGTGGCGGTTTAGGTATGGGGGGAGGCCGGGAAGGGACGCTAAATCCCTGTCTTCTCTGGGGCGACGAAGTGTCTACAGCTCTTTCTCTATCTATCCTCTCCCTCCCTCTCTCTCTATCTATACTCTCTCTCTCTATCTACCCTCTCCCTCTCTCTTTCTATATATATCTATCCTCTCTATCTATCTATCTATCCTCTCTCTCTCTATCTCTATTTACCCTCTCTCCCTCTATCTAACCTCTCTCTCCCTGTCTATCCTCTCCCTCTCTCTATCTATCCTCTTCTTCTCTCTTTATCTATCCTCTCTCTCTCTCTCTCTCTCTCTCTCTCTCTCTCTCTCTCTCTCTCTCTCTCTCTCTCTCTCTCTCTCTCTCTCTCTCTCTCTCTCTCTCTCTCTCTCTCTCTCTCTCTGTACCGTTGATACAGGAACGAAAAAAAACATACAGTCAGGAGGGAATGGTAGATATGATACAGGTTTAAATAAAATAGAACAAGATACATTCCATCATTAACCTGATGAACATTTCGGATCGTACCAAAGCCTCTTCGGGTTTTTGGGTAATATAATATCCCGTCAACCACAGACACTGGTATCGCTGTCCACTCTCTATGCCTAACCTAGTAATTGAGACGATAAGCTGAACTGTATTTATCGTGACAAATTAAAACAAAGGTGTGGATGAGAATTAATATCTTCACAATACAAGATGTATTTGACTGGTTTTGTATATATCTTCGTCAGAAATACATGATTTTTGAATTTCTGACGAAAATGTATTCGAAACCGGTCAGAGACTTGTCTTGTATTGTGAAGATATTCATTCTAATTCATATATTTTCTACTTACGAAAAGTTGTCCATTGTATAGCTTCCAACGAGCCTAAAGCTTTTTTTTTTTTTACAAATTCCGAAATCTATAAAACTTTACGCCTGTCGACATTTCAGATTGTCCATTTCTATTTGCTACCAAAGACGATGGCAAGTGCAAATATCCAGGTTATATTTGTTACCATAATATTACCCAAAAGTGCAAATGTGAATTGTAGTCGATACCATTATAATAATAAAGATAATAACAAAGATAATGATAAAATAATGAATGACAAGCGCTAATATCCATGAAAATAGTTACTACCATAATAACCTTACAAAAAGTATGCGCAAACATCCATATACATTCATATTACCATAAAACCATTACCCCTCCCCCCTAACAGACAAAATAATAACAATAATAACACAAAATAATAACAATAATAATAGCAAGGGTAAATATCCATAAATAAAGCCAATACCATAACATCATCATAAAAAAAATTGGCGCGCATTCTAGACCTTCTGGAACAAACGATGCTTCTTGGAGGTCAGCTTTAGGCGCGAGTCGGAAGCATGATGCGCAATAGTGATAAGATGAGGGATAGTGATGATAATGATAAAAAAGGATAATGATAAAATATGATGATGAGGGATGAGGATAATGATAATGTTAAGATAGAATGATGATAAAAGATAATGCTAATGATGATGATTAAAGATAATGATAATGATGATAAATCATAATGATGATGATGATGATAAAAGATAAGGATAATGACGATAAAAGATGATGATAATGATGATAAATGATAATGATAAAAGATCATGATAATGAGGATTAAAGATAATGATAATGATGATAGACGATAATGAGGATGGTAAAAATTAATAATGAAAATGATAAAATATGATGTCGATAAAAGATAATGATGATAAAAGATGATGAAAAATAATGACAATGGTGATAAACGATAATAATAATGATGATAAATGATAATGATAAAAGATAATTATAGTGCTGATAAAAGATGGTGATAATAATGATAAAATACAATGATACTGATGATAAAAGATAATGATGATAATGATTAAAGATAATAGCACTGATGATGAAAAATAATGATAATGATAAAGAATAATGATGATAAAAAATAATGATAATGATAATAAAATATAATGAGGATAATGATTAAAGATAATGATAATGATAACAAACGATAATGATGAGATGAAAACGATAATGGTAATGGTAATAATGATGATGATAATGATATTGATTATAGTTATAAGAATAATAATTATCATAAAAAAATATGATAATCATAATGATAATGACGATGATGATGATAGTAATAATGATAATGTTCAGAAATAATTATAGAGATTATGATAATGCTATTAACAACAATGATAATAGTGATATAAATAAGAAAAATAATAAATGATATTGATATTAATAACAATAATAAAAATGGTAATGATAATAACAGTGATGATAACAACAATGATAATAACAATGGAGATTTAAAATAATGATGATAGCAAATACGATAATGATATGAACATTAA